TCAAGCTCAGTCTTCAAACAAGTTAGATTTTTTTGCCCCCTCTGCTCCCCTTGGAAGGCTTTTCAAGAACTTCACCCCTCTTAGTTAGAAACCTTAATCTAAATTTCAAGTTTGATAAACAACAGGACCAAAAGAATGCCACCATAGTTAAACAGCAGAGTAAAAGAGGTGGTTAAAGGCAAAAGGGCATCCTTTAAAAATTGGAAGTTAAACCCTACTGAGGAAAATCAAAAGGAGTATAAACGGTGGCAAGTCAAGTTAAAAATATAATTAGGTTGGCCAAAAAAAGAATTGGAAGTGCAGTTAGTAAAAGATGCACGCTAACATCATTTTTTTTTTTTTTTAAGTACATCAGAAGCAGGAACCCTGACAAAAAATCAGTGGGTCACTGGATGATTAAGGTGCTAAATGAGCACTGAAGAAAGACAAAGCCATTGCAGAGAAGCTAAATGAATTCTTTGCATTGATCTTCACTGCAGAGGATGTGAGGAAGATTCCCATACCTGAGCCATTCTTTTTAGGTGACAGATCTGAGGTAATTGCGATGTTGGATTTACAATCAGAATTAAAATTGGAGAAGGCCAAACCAAAGAGAAAATACTTTTCTTCTTTATCCAATAAAGATTCATCCATGCCTCTAATCCAGTGGTCACCAACTGGTCGAGGTCAATTGTGGAGAGTCTCCCAGTTGATCGCGATCTCCGGTGGTGCAGGGGGGCTGCTGCTAAGGCAGACTCTCTGCCTGCTCTGCAGCGTTTTTCGTACTTTGCCGATTTATAAATATTTATTATCTATAGAAATATATTTTCATCTGTTTGTGGGTGTATAGTGAAATCAACGTTTACTAAGATTTACCCATAAAAATCAAATCCTTTCAAACCTAAATATAAGCTAGTCAGAACCAAGATAGATTTAGTTCTGTATATAATGACTGAGATATATATTTAAAAAAAGTTCAGGGTTTCATGTCAACAGATGTTTAAGCCAGACTGGAAACATAATGAGCATCTTGTGGTCTACCATTGTGTTCCATTGTCAAAAAATTTTACCTAGCTTGTGCTTACTGCTAATAGAAGATTGCAGGCCTTGCAGCAAAATATTATATCATCTCATTTGGCTGTTTTACACCTATTGTTCTCAGTGGGATTAATTCTGTCTGAAAGAAATTCTAGTTAAAGTTGAGATACAGGAAATTTAAGAGAACCCCAAGCAGCAATTAGCATTTTCTCATTTTTTGGACTGTAAGGGTATGTCTACACTACGAAATTAGGTTGATTTTATAGAAGTCGATTTTTAGAAATCGATTTTATGCAGTCGATTGTGTATGTCCTCACTAAGTGCATTAAGTTGGCGGAGTGTGTCCTCACTACCGTGGCTAGTATTGACTCATGGAGCAGTGCACTGTGGGAAGCTATCGCACAGTTTCCGCTGCCCCTTGGAATTATGGGTTAAGCTCCCAATGCCTGATGGGGAAAAAAACATTGTTGCAGGTGGTTTTGGGTACATGTTGTCACTCTCCCCTCTCTTACTCCCTCTGTGAAAGCAAATGCAGACAATCATTTCGTGCCTTTTTGCCTGGGTTACCTGTGCAGACATCATAGCACGGCAAGCATGGAGCCCGCTCAGCTCACCGCTGCTGTTGCGAGCATTGTAAACACCTTGCTCATTATACTGCAGTATGTGCAGAACCTGGCTAAGAGACGGCAGCACGAGGATGATTGTGATGAGGACATGGACACAGACGTTCCCGAAAGCATGGGCTCTGGCAATTGGGACATCATGGCGGCAGTGGGGCTGGTTGATACAGTGGAACGCTGATTCTGGGCCCGGCAAACAAGCACAGACTTGTGGGACCGCAGTGTTGCAGGTATGGGATGATTCCCAGTGGCTGCGAAAGTTTTGCATGCGTAAGGACACTTTCCTGGAACTCTGTGAGTAGCTTTCCTCCACCCTGAAGCACAGGAATACGAAGATGAGAGCTGCCCTGACTGTTGAGAAGCGAGTGGCGATAGCACTATGGAAGCTTGCAACGCCTGACTGCTACCGGTCAGTCGGGAATCATTTGGAGTGGGCAAATCTACTGTTGGGACTGCTGTGATTCAAATAGCCAATGCAATCACTGACGTTCTGCTATCAAGGGTAGTGACTCTGGGAAATGTGCAGGTCATAGTGGATGGCTTTGCTGCAATGGGTTTCCCTAACTGTGGTGGGGCGATAGACAGAATGCATATCCCTATCTTGGCACTGGACCACCTTGCCAACCAGTACATAAACCACAAGGGGTACTTCTCAATGGTGCTGCAAGCCCTGGTGGATCACAAGGGATGTTTCACCAACATCAACGTGGAGTGGCTGGGAAAGGTGCATGACGCTCGCATCTTTAGGAACTCCGGGCTGTTTGAGCAGCTGCAAGAAGGGATTTACTTCCCAGACCAGAAAATTACTGTTGGGGATGTTGAAATGCCAATAGTTCTCCTTGGAGAGCCAGCCTACCCCTTGCTCCCATGGCTCATGAAGCCTTATACAGGCAGTCTGGACAGTAGTAAGGAGCAGTTCAACTATAGGCTGAGCAAGTGCAGAATGGTTGTAGAATGTGTCTTTGGACGTTTAAAAGCTCGCTGGTGCTGTTTGCTGACTAGGTTAGACCTCAGCGCAACCAGTATTCCCATTGTTATTACTGCTTTCTGTGTGCTCCATAATATCTGTGAGAGTAAGGGGGAGATGTTTATGGCGGGGTGGAAGGTTGAGGCAAATCGCTTGGCTGCCAATTTTGAACAGCCAGACACCAGGGCTATTAGAAGAGCACAAGTAGGCGCACTGCGCATCGGAGAGGCTTTGAAAACTGGTTTCATGACTGGTCAGGCTACGGTGTGACAGTTGTGTGTGTTTCTCCTTGATGCAAACCCGCCCCCTTTGTTGAATTTAAGTCCCTGTAAGCCAACCACCCTCCCCCCTTTGGTCACAGCTGGCAAAGGAAATAAAGTCACTATTGTTTTGAAACCATGCATTCTTTCTTAATTAAAAAAAAAAGGGGAGATAACTGATAAGGTTTCCCAGGTGGGGTAGGGAAGGATAAGGCCACATTGCTTATTGTAGCCACACTACAAATCAAAACTGTTTGAATGACAACCTTCTGTTGCTTGGGCCATCCTCTGGAGTGCAGTGGCTGGGTGCCCGGAGCCTCCCTCCCCCCCCCGCATTCTTGGGCGTCTAGGTGAGAAGGATATGGAACTTGGGGAGGAGGGCAGGCGGTTGTACAGTGGATGCAGCGGCGGTCTGTGCTCTTGTTGGCTTTACTGCAGCACCACCAGATGCCTGATCATGTCCGTTTGCTTCCCCATTAGCCTCAGCTTTGCATCCTGCCTCTTCTCATTGCACTCACTTAATGCTTTCCTGGACTCTGCCACTGAATGCCTCAAGGCATTCAGCTGTGCCCTATCAGTGCGGGAGGACTGCATGAGCTCGGAAAACATGTCATCGCATGTGGTTTTTTTCGCCTTCTAATCTGAAATAACCTCAGGGACGGAAATGGTAGGGGGAGCATAGAAAAATTTGCACCTGCGGGGGGATAAAAAGGGAGAGTAAAATTTAAGATGATACATTTCTGAGAACAAAAGAGAGATTCTTTTACAGTGAATCAAGCAATTCACAGCAGACAGCACATGTGCTTTAGGTACAAGGTCGCATTTTTCCTTTTATTTTGAGTGCCTGCTGGTATGGTGACACATCACACATGCTGCCGTCTCTTAGCCACATGGCTGGGCAACAGAACTTGGTTTCCAGGCAGCCACGGTAAACCAAAGGGTACGCGGGTTTGCCTTCTAATGCCTTGATAAAATGTGGGAATGTTTTCAAACTGCAGCGTCCTCCTTTCCCATAGCAAGCAATGCCGGTTGGGTTTGCCATTTAAAAGGAGGGGCTGTGGTTTTCGGGTGAATTTACAAAAATTCCCCTATTTCAACCAGGTGACCATGAATGATATCACTATCCTGAAGCTAACACAGAAAGATATAGACCAAATGTTGCTTGAATGCGATGAAAACCCCGGACCATTCGCTGCCATACTTTGTGCTGCAATGATTCCAGACTACTTGCTACTGGCTTGGCATGGTAAAGTGTCCTACCGTGGAGGACGAAATAAGGCAGCCCTCCCCAGAAACCTTCTGCAAAGACTTTCAGAGTACCTCCAGGAGAGCTTCATGGAAATGTCCCTGGAGATTCCTGCTCCATCCCCAGAGAAGTTAGCAGACTTTTCCAGTAGCTGTACTGGCCACGAATGCATCTCAAGTCGTCAGGGCAAATCAAACATTAAACACTATTGCTTTTAAACTCTGTACTGTAGTTACAAATGTGCATTCACCAGAGGGGCCTTCTCCGTTTTCAGGGTCGGGGATCCCACCTTGGCTCCAGGGTGATGAAAAGGTCCTGGCTGCTGGGGAGAACATATTCACAGCTTGCCTGCTACGCATTCTCCTCCTCCTCCTCTTCCTCATCCACAAAATCCTCCTCCGTGTTGCGTGAGACTCCTCCCTTGCCCCTAACAGTGGGTGCGAAGGGCAGGAGTCAGGGTTCAGAAATATGAAAACCAATATATATTAAAATAAAAAATGACCATACCTAAAAGAGATGATGTAATGTGCTAAAACTATATACATTTCTTTCTTATTTGTTTTTATATCTTTTGTTTTGATAGTATGTTCCTTGAGTCCCATATTGTCTGTTTACATCTTATTAGCAGTAGTACTACAGAAATTTTAAAAACTAACATCTCGATCCTCCAATGAGCACTGCAGAGATACCCATTGCCTTAAATTAGCGTGTATGTGGAGGGTTCTTCCATTATGCAACTTGTTGCAAGTTCTGGGCTTAAGAAACAAATGTAATTAATTTAGCTATAAATTATTTAGCAGAAAAAACCCATGTCATATATACTCATCATAGATGCTTTTTACCAGAACTGCCTGAAGGCACTACATAGGTTGTTCTTTTTTTCTCCACAGTGCCGAAGAACGAGGAAACCTTTTGCTGTTTTTCAGAAGCCTTTCATCCTTTGCTGAGTGGTGTGAACATCGCAAATGCACCTTCAAACATTTCAAGGTAGTGTATGACAAGACATTCTGTATATTTCATCCTTTATCATTCCTAAGTGTTGATATTAATAAGAGTTTTATGATAAAAGGGCAAATTGAGCATAAGTATTACTCTCCATAGCACTTTTCAGAATAATAGAACAATCTTAATTTTGAGTAGAACTCACTTTTTAATTATACTACTATTGAACTTGAAATTGGAGGAGAAAAAACATTATCCAAAGGTTTATAGACTTACTGGCTGTTTTGTGTCCCATATGTACAAAAGACAAATTCTTTATTAATGTGTCATTTAAGTTGATTTTGTCATAGTATTTTTCATATTCTTGTTCAGACAAATTGCAGTCTGATTAAATCAGTGTAAAAGCATCAGTGAAATTTAAAATACTGTGCCGACTGCAACCTTCATGTGAGTGGGTCTTTCTCTGGCTAGTTGAAAGAAAAGGGGTGTTGCCCTTTTGCAGCAGGTGTGGAGAAGGGAGAAAATTTCTTAGGATGAACAAGAAGGTCAGGAAGCAGTTGGGGCCAGGTCAGGAGAAGGTCACTGGTTTGCCTTTCCTGCTGACTGGAAGGGGTGGGGGCGGTATTTATAATCCCGTGCAGACATGGTAGACCCTCTTTACCAGGATCATAGGAAATACTATATATATCTGCAGTGTTTTTTGAAATGTAGGGCATCTGATGTTTTCAAGTGATGAAAATAAGCCAATCTTTTAGTAGGTAGTACAACTGAGTTTTCTTTTCAGAATAACTAATGCAAAATAATATGTCAAAATAACGCAACATTTGTAGGCTACGTCACATCTAAACACTGCTTCTCAGCTGTGATGAGCAATAATTTGGATTTGAGCCTCTCAATCTTTTCATATCTCTGGAAGGCAACATTCCCATTCGGAGCTGTTTGGTATAGGCAGGGGAGCAATTGTCCCTTAATTTTAATTGGAGAATACAGTTAACTTTAAACTACATTGTTCTTCAGCTAGTTTACTTCTCGCCATTGTTTTGTATAATTTTTCATGTAAATAATGATTTGTTCCTTAGTGGTGTTTCATTCATTCTGCTATAGTTTTATTGGGAAGAACAGTGATTTAAGTTTTAAAAAATAAATCAATTGGCAAAATATGTACTCAGCATACCATCTCAAAGCAATAAAATTTATTCCCTGGAATTTTTATAAAAAACATTAATTTCAAATGTTACCTCTTGTAGCAAAAAAAAAAAAAAGGACCTTATACAAGATGTGACTGGCAGTAGTGGACCTCATATAAAAATGTCATGGGATTTACCCGTTCAAATCCATTAGAACTGTAATGGCATAAGATGTCATGCTACAGTTTTGTGGTGGTGGTGGTGGTGGTTGGCTTTTTTTTAACTAAAATGCCTTATTAGGGATAAAGATTTAACCAACCAACCATAAAATAAAGAAATATGGAAGAAAAAAAATTGGGTAACCTCTTCGTACCAGACATGAACCTTTCACTGTAGTCCAGGAAAGGAGAAGATTCCAAAGATATAGCTACACAACTTGAGAACAGACGCAAGGACTTCCTCTTTTTTGACAGGGTATTTTACATGCTTACAAATTGAAATGGTTGTTTATGCACAATCTAACCCTGAAGCTGATATTCAAATGATCTATCTTCATTCTGTCATTGCTCAAGAAAACTCCCATTGGTCCTTTGTAAACCTGGAGGATTTCAGCCCATGTGTAGTCTATTGAAAAAAACATAGTAAGAGCCAATGGAAAATTTAAGAAAAAATGGAATATTTGAGTCAACTTTTCCCCATTTTTATGGATATTTTAAAATTTATTTTACATATTTGTATTGGGATGACGTGGCTGTTGATATATGCATAATTACTAGCCAGGGAGGTGATGTTAAAATGTGTCTTGAAAGTAGAATAAGCGTATATATTGAGGCAAAAATCAGCTCAGCAAAGCAGCGGAATGGTTGCGTATTCTGACAGAATGATTACAGATTTTGTCAATTCTACTTTTATCTGTTAATGCGGGATTAATTATGTTGTAGTCATGTTCACAGCTGAGAATTTAAGGTATCAAAACATGAGTCGTTCTGTAGCAAAATATAAACCAATTTGTTTCTGTAATATTTTTTATTTTTCAGAGGTCTTAGACAATAAAAATATAGTATAAGTAATAGTAAAAACCAAAGAGTCACAACAGCAATTTCAAGGTCTGAGGTCCTATAAATGCTGTTAAGTACTGTATTTGAAGGTACATAATATTGTTGTAATAGCATAGTTATAGCATAGCTTGATAACTATTCAAATAGCTGTCTGTAATGCCAGTGCAAAAAGCAAACAGAAAATAACTTATCTAAACAAAAACATGTTCATTAAATGAAGAGATAGCAAATTAAGATTTATTAATGGAGAATGTACCTGAGGAGGGCTTGTGTATGGTAAGGTTAACACTAGTTTGATATTATGTGGTTCAAGAGAGAGTAGGGGCTTAAATTCATTAAAAGGTCCAAGAATCGCTATGACTTTGCTATGAAAGATGTGCCATTGAACAGAATTATGAAAGTGAACTGTGATCCTGTACAGTTTTCTTACAAGCCATGGAACTTTCATGGTAATACAATTTTACTTTATTTTTTTATCCGTAACGTTTTAGTTGAAGTTTCCAACTGTTTAAAGGATGTTCTGCCATTGAATAAAGTTGTGTGATGGCTTTTAGGCTATGAGAATATTTTTTTCTTGACTTAGAAAATAGCCGGAACCCTCTTAGAGGTATTTCTATTAGATTTTTCTTATTTTTTATTAGTAGTCATAAGTGTGCTAGGCATTTGAATGGGGACACAGTGCTTTTCCCTTGTTTTTTTTATTTCAACATGCACAACTACAGTAGGCATATGCCAAGCTCATTTAACTAACTTATCAACATTTTTTCTTAGCCCCAAGATGACAAATAGATAGCTTGGTAAAATTTTTAAGCTATAAAAATAATTATACATGAAGAACATTACTCACCTTCTTAAATACTTCCCTAAATCAGTTTTACCACCTCTTTCTTATTACTTCCTTTCCTGAACAGTCATTTTCTCTGAATTAACCTCAGTTCAACCTAAAATCTGCTGTGTACCCATTACTTTTTTGTACATTTAGCATAATTCTTTTTCTCCTTTAATATCATATTTTATGATTACAACACACTCTTTTACATCACTGTTCTGTATTGTTCCTCCAGTACATTCATAGAGGTTTTTGCTCATGTGATGCTCAACTCCTTTGTTTTTGTTGCTCTTTCTAACTCCTGTTAAAGGGTTATGTAGAAAGCTTTCAATCATTGACTTTCCTCCAAAAATCAACCTGACCTCAAAATTCTATCATTCAGTCTCTTAGTAATAGAATTAACTGACCACACATGGCTAAAATATGATCTAGCCTCCCTAGTTAAACATTTTATGTACAGTAAAGACTGTTGATATTATCATGGAAGTTCCTTGCTAGTATTCTTCCAGCTACTGCAGAATCCTTCATAGGTATGCTCAGAGGTACAGTGCAAGAATGGCACTGCACATGCTAACATGGTGGGCCATTTGCTACTGGTGATGTTGTGGTAATTTTATCGTGCTCAGATATCTTCTGTCCACCATGAAATACTCTACCCTTTTCTGTTTTCGGTTGTAATGTAACAATGGAGACAATCTGTAACCCAATTATTTTCTGATGCATAGGGAGATTTCCTAACTCTGTCCTGGAGCAAGAATGTGGTGGGTAAAGATTAATATAATCTTTTATGATATGAAAAAGAAATCTTTGCCATCACTAACTGATCTTGCAACGGTGTGATCATGCCACCCTGAAGTGCTCTAATCCTTAGTATCACTGTACACACAGTTATTCCTGTTCCTCTTTGGGGTCTTATATGAAGAAGCAGAAAGAAGGAGGTAGCGGAAGACATGAGGGCATATGGATCATTGATGCTAGGAGCTGCAATGATGCTTTATTGGTCCTTAGTTCATGTGTGTAAATTCCATGATAGCAGCCATTAAGTGTGTAAACTCTATGAATATAGTAACTTTCTACAGTAAATGTCAGTCATTCCAAAATCCATTTTGAAGTTAAAAAGGGGGCAGGTTTGAAGATAATTGCAACTTATTATGCAGCTCTTTTAAAAACATTGGCAAAAGTGAACTTTTCTCTTCCCATGTTTTGTAACAGTGTTTGAATAACGATAGAGCTGCATGCATTCTTATTTTAAGTTGATAATTTTTAAAGCTTAAAACTTAACATTTAAAGAGATACTGTCAACATGATGTATTTTAAAATTGACTTTTAAAAATTTCTGTTACCTGACAAAGCACCTTGCACAATGTAACTATTTTTCCCCCCTGTCTTTTTCTATTACACTGATATTTTAAGGGACTTCTCATAATCAATTACATCTTTACTAAATGACTATGCATGGAAATAATGAAACTGACTATTGACAAAGTGTTGTCAAACACAAAGAGAACACAGTTGTTTGTGTGTTTTTGTTTTTTGTTAATTTGCAATTTTTTAATGTTAAGTGTTATGATATAAGTTAACTGTGGCCCTTTACCCAAAAAGATTTGTGAGCTGTTGAACATATTGTCATCTGAAAGTAAGATTTTTTTCTATTATGCCTAGAAAGACAGGAGAGACAATTTGTAGATACAAAAAAAGTATGTCTCATGTATGAAAAATCCAAAGTTCATATGGAAATGTTGGTCCTACAATTCCTCTTGGAGCCAACTTTCAAAATAATTATTAATTTCCTTGTGAATTAACTCTTATATTTTTCCAAAGCATACAGTTCTGTTTGTTGAAAGAATATTTTCATTAAAGATTAGTTTTAAAATGGATAATTAAGAGACACTAGTAAAACATGTAAGACAGGCCTATTAAGCCAATTTCATCTCTGATATAAGTGCATTGACTTCAATGGAGTTAGATCACTGATTAATTTGACCCATTTTGTTCAAATGAATTAGCAGAATATGAAGAAATACTTTTTTTGATCAAAAATGTATTCACTAAAAAAGTTTTTGTAGTTTTCATATTTAGGCATATGGTTCATTTAGAAGTCTGGTAAATATACATATTAAAAATTTGGAAAAAAATCTTTTAAAAAACCCTGACATCTCACTAAGATACTACCTCAGATCTTAATCCTTTTGAAAGCCATTTTCACTTCTCTTAGTCCCTGAATATTACATGCAAAAGACTTTATTAGTGAACATCTTGTATAATAAGGAACAGAAAAGATTTTCTTGCTTCAATTCTTGGAGTTTATGATGCAAAATATTAATGTTAAATAATAAGTAGTAAACATAACATTGAACACTCTTTATCCATCAGTATGACAAATGTAATGATTCTACAGTTACTTTCTTTTCTATGAAAAAAATTACTAGAAGAGGATTAAGAAAAACATACTTTTTGGGGACCCTTTTTACTTTCCCAAGCATGATTAATGAGTATAGACCTGTTAAGAGACTTAGAGGACCACTTGTTCTTGACAACATTGTGATAATTTTACCAGACATATAAGGAATGTTTTCTGAGATAGGAGAGACAGGAAGAGGTTCAAAGGTGTCACAAACAGTCAGCAGAAAAAATGATAATTTGACGGCTAAGGTATATTTTTTTGGCTTTATTATTAATGCACCTAGGGGCGGGTGAGCAATGGTTAAAATAGTACTATTAGTACGGAAAATAAAAAAGGATACACCTACACTAAAAATAAAGATTGATACAGTATTCAGTTTACAATAGACATCTTAATCTATGGGGCTTGATACAGCATCACCATTTTGTTTGTTGTATTAGATTTTGTATGAATGTTATGACCAGATGACTTTGCACAGTATCACACTGAAGCCTTTTGTTACAGGGTCATATTTGGAAATAATGACAGTGTTGCTTATGGTGTGTTTTATTGTAGTATGAAGGACCACTCTGAAGATGAGGTTTTTGTTTTGATGATTTGCTGGAGGGCAATAAAATATTACTAAGTGGGAGTGCTTTGGAGGGCAGTTTTTTATTTGTTTCAAATGTCTGATAAGGAATTTGGGACAGTCAGCTGATTGGGTTGCCACCAGTAACCAGTTTGTTTTTAGTAAATGCCGCAAATATGTGACAGTCTCCATACAAATATTTCCTTTGGGGTTTGAAGCATTCACAGGTGGTTTTTGTTAGTTGCTCATTTATAGAACTTTCTGTTTTAAGAGCCATAATAATTTCGTATTACTAGACTGGAAGGTCAAGCTTGTTTGAATTTTGTACACAAAAAATGTATATTATACATGGATGTTATGTAGTTGGTAGGACTGTATTTAAAACTGTTAAGTGATATATGAACTGATGATTGCAGTAAAATGTTAAACTGACACAAAATGCAATGATAGTTATGTAGTCAGTGTCTGATTTTAAAGCAAGCAATCAGCAATTATCACAAAATACAGAGCAGTATACTTGGTTGTCTTCTCAGCGAGTTTATAGCATGTGAATAAATTAATAACATAAATAGGCAGATGCAGTTGTTTTAAAGTGACACTGTCAAACATTACAGTTCCAAAATTTAACTTAACATAAAAATGTTGTAATCTCATAGAGATTGTTCTCCAGATTTTAAATATGTAAATTTTAAAGTATATAACTATCACCCCCACCTCTGAAAGAGGAATTACTTTAAGTAGAATTTTGATAAAAACAATGTCTTGTAAGCCCTTGTCTCTTAGATTTTAGTCACCAGTGTAGCTATACCACTCTATCATCACTAGTACAGACTCACTGCACCAGTCCAGTGCATCTACACGAGGGGTTTACACTGGTGCCACTACATCAATGGCTAAAATCCTAACATAGGCAAGGCCATCTGCTGCTGGTACAGAGCATATACAATTTAAAGTAACAAGATCTGCTCTCAGCGATGCTGCCATACAGTAACTCCTCACATAACGTTGTAGTTATGTTCCTGAAAAATGCAACTTTAAGTGAAACGATGTTAAACGAATCCAATTTTCCCAGAAGATTTAATGTAAATGCGGGGGGTTAGGTTCCAAGGAAATTTTTGGGGGGCAGATAAAAGGCATTATATACTGTACTGTACTGTGGTGGGGAGGTGCCCCTGGCTTACCCCTGGGGCTCAGGACTGGGGTGCAGGGTCTGGGAGGCAGTTAGGGTGCGGGAGGGCAGGGTCTGGGAGGCAGTTAGGGTACGGGAGGGCGCTCAGGGTGGGAGTGTGGGAGGAGGCTCAGAGCTGGGGCAGGCAGGAGGTGCAGAGCACTTACCTGGGCAGCTCTTGTTTGGTGCAGGGGGTGTGCAGGTGGCTCTGCGCAGCGTGGCACCGCCCCCATGGCCGCAATTCTGGGAGCCGCGATTCTGGGAGCTGCTCTCCTCCTTCCCCTAGCAGGCAGGGCCACCCGGAATGCAGGGGCTTTAGGGGCTGCAGGGCCCTGGGCTAAGGGGGCCCTGAGGCCCTGGCCTGCAGCTCCAAAGCCCCTTTTGCAATGTGGCCCTGCGAGCACAGGCTGGAGGACTCAGGAGGAGCACAGGCAGCCGCGCAGCCAGCGGCCGGAGAGAAGTGGCGCTTTCCCCTTCAAAGCGCCACTTCTTTCTGGCCGGCTTTGAAGGGGAAAGTACCGCTTCTCTCCAGCCGCTGGTTGTGCAGCTGCCCCTGCTCCTCCATGGCCCGGAGGACTCAGGAGGAGCAGGGGCAGCCGTGCAGCCCGCAGATGGAGAGAAGCAGCGCTTTCCCCTTCAAAGTGCCGCTTCTCTCCGTCTGGCTTTGAAGTGGAAAGCGCCGCTTCTCGCTGGCTGCGTGGCTGCCCCTGCTCCTCCTGAGTCCTCCGGCCTGTGCTCGCAGGGCCGCATTCCGAAAGGGGCTTTAGAGCTGCAGGCCAGGGCCCTGCCAGCCCCTAAAGCCCCTGCGTTCCGGGTGACTCTGCCTGCCGGGAGGGGGAGGGGGAGGCAGCTTCCCCACTCGCTCCCTCCCTCTGTCACAGAAAATCCTAAGTGCCGCCAAACAGCTGTTTGGCGGCAGGGGAAGTGCTGGAAGGGCGGGAGGAAGGGAGGGGGAGGAGGTGGAGAATAGGAACTTGTGTAATGCTCCCTTGTAAAGTCAGCCAAACGACGTTATAAGGGAGCATTGCACAACTTTAAATGAGTATGTTCTCTAATAGAGCAGCAATGTAACTTCAAAACAACGTTAAGCCGGAGGACGTTAAGTGAGGAGTTACTGTATCTTAACTGATGCTGCTGGACTAATAAGGAAGAAAAAAAATACTTTCAAGTTTCATTAAAAAAAGCCATGGATTACAAAAGAATGATTGGTCAAAAAAAATCAGTAGATTAAGAAATCTGTATTCAGCTTCATAAGAGATTATTAGAAATGAAGGTGAAACAAGTACATGATAGAGTTTTCAGAAATTCCTTAATTTCCAAGCCCGTCTCCTATATTACTCTAAGGCTTTTGAGAGCTAAACTACACTGTGTTGGGGACGATAAATTAAACCATATAAAATTACATACACTAGTATTTCAGAGACTATCCCTTGTCTTCTTGTAGCATTTTAGCTTTTTTGAGAGAATATTAGGAGATTAAGTTAATTTACCTGCTAGTTTGTGGTACAATATATAAATAAATCTTTAATAATGACTGTTGAAGAGCATTTTTAAGAAATATTGATGACTCGTTCTAATATGTATAAAAACCTGTTTTTTCATACGAAAGCAATCCTAAACCAACTTTAAACATTGTTCTTTGGTCCTATTTATGTATGGAAAGAGCTTTCTCTACTAATCAAGGTTTGGAGCAAGATATAGTGCGCCTGCTACATGTACAACATTATTACTCTTATACTGGTTGTTGTTAAGATGAATCTTCTTCCTGTTATACATTGGCCACTACTAGGACAAAGAAATGTTTTTTTTTTTCCTTTTGGCATCAGCTTGACTTGAACTTGGAATATAATGGTGGCTGCTGTGGGTGGATGTTTTTATTTTTTTATTAAAAACTTTAAAGCATAGGAGTATCATGACTCAAGAGTAATTTTTTTTAAATGGAAAATGAAAATCAAGTGTTCTAGCTGCTAGTTAACTCATCAACCCCAACAAGAGTGATAAATTTAATTTTCAAAATGTCAGGGGATTTAAAAGAAAAAAAATGAAACAATACTGGTGCAAGTGTGATTGTGATTTTTCTTAATTATGTATTCAAGATAAAAAAAAATCTTCTGGCTTATTTTTATTTTTTAAAATAATTATAATAAAATAATTACTTTCTTCTCCAAGAAAATTAAAACCAGCCAAACAATTTTTGGTTTTGACACTACTAAAAAGCCTATTAGGTTTCAATTTTCATAGGTGCATACTAACTGTACCTCAGGCTTTTAATGTGCACATAATAATATTCAATTCAACTATATTCGTTGCTCAGGTCAAGCACTGTCATATTATTGTTTAATTAGACTGGAAATAAAAAAAAGTTGTTACTGTAAACTGGCTTATATTACTAAGGAAAAACAGTGATTCCAAAGTGAAATACCTTTATGTATTTGAAATTTAAATAACTATACAAACAAAAAAAATAGTAGCTATGAAGTTGAGAACTTTTCATATTTCAACAAGCTCCTTTCATATACCACTTGTCCAGGATAAGTCTAGTATCAGTGATTAGGTTTTTTTGTACACTTGTATTTATGAAGCAGCTAAGCCAAATGAGGACTGTGCAAATGCCTAGTGAAACAAACAAAAACAGAAAAAGAAAAGTAATCTGAAATTGTGTATTTGTGTTAAGTCAGAATCAATATCTTTAGGGTGTAGTTATCTTTATTTTAATCTGAACTGTTAGTCAAAAGCCCCCACCATTAATATGAGACTGTCCCTTTGTATTGCTTGCATCTGAAAAAAGCTAAAAGGGTAAAACCATGTTGGTAATATAATTGAATTAGTTTTTCACACCGTTTTACAGTTTAAGATAGAACGAACTTTGCATTTTATTCCTAAGCATTTTAAAGTTTTCTGTGTCTGTTTTTTACATTTTTCCAGTAATTGAACTATGGCTTCTATTCTAAAAAGTGACATTGTAAAAGTCCATCTTTATTTTTTCTTAGTGTGTTCCAGTGAAACTTTCTTGGTTTACCAAAAGAATAAACAAAGTTCATCTGTTCGAAGCCTGATCTGAATTCAATGATTTTCCTGACCAAGACAAAGACTTAGAGTGAACCTGTGCTTTTTACAGGTCATGGATTTTAATCAGTAATTAAAATGATTTGAGCCAGATTCTGGTTGTAGTTACACCAGTGCAAACCCATTGCCTCCAACTTGCAATTGAGTTGTGTGGGTGACTTGACTCTTGGAACTTAATTAGCAATTCTGCTGATGTGCAAGCCAGAATAACATTCTCACAGTTGTGTTTGCTTTGCAGTGTTAGTATGAATAAAGTAATTAAAACTTACAGCCTGATCCTGCAATCCTTATTCATATGAGTATTGCAATTAAACCACTGAAGTTAAAGGAATGATACCTATGAGTAAAGGATGCTTGCAGAAGTAAGTGTTGCAGGGTTAAGCCCATACTTTTGACACTGTCATAAACTTACATGAATCTGAAAGTACAGGTGATATTGGGTCTGCCAAGTGAGCAGATGCTGTTTTTTTACATAGTGATTTTTCAGACTAGAACTACATTTTTAACATGATTAAAAGTTCATTAGGTATATAGAAAAACATAATTAATAAGGGAAAGGATATAGTCATTTAAAAAAGGAACAGGAATGATCATCTGTTACCATACTTAAGTTTTTAGCATGTGTAATTAGTAGGTAGTGGTTAATAATATGCTCCTACAGGCAGTGTTTTCAAGCAAGAAAAAGCATTAGGATGCTTTGCCAAGATGATTGGGTTGCCTTCCATTCTTATCTCATCCATACGTGAACGGATATAACGTGTGTTGTTGGATTTGCAGAATGTGTCATCTGTGATTGAGGTTATGTTGTTAAACTGCAAAACAAAACAAAGATAGTTTGAAAATGTTTCAGCATCAAAACCTAGATGAAAGTATCTGAATCTTACCAATAATTAATTATGTCTCTCTATTTTTTCTTGTTTTTTTTTTATTTTGTTGTTTTTGAATCTGACTCTTAAGTTTTTGTTTTTATGTCTTCTGAAGGGTTTATTCTATGAGTGCAGTTATTAACCAGTAATTTTACATTGGTACTGAAATCCAGTACATTTTGTTGACAAAGGGTTATTCTATTGCTCATTGTGGCCGGTGACTGCCCTTAAATAAAGAAACAAACAGTGTTTATAGACAAAGTAGTGACAAATTCCAGCGTTACAGTTACAATCAGCCACCAAACAGCTAGGAGAACTTCTATTTTACTTTATTCTGAAGAATTATTTGAAATCTCGACTACTTTATTGCTTTTTAATATTTCAAAGATAGGATGAGCACATGTGCTATGGTGCTAAATATTTTTAGGTACGTGTTTGTACTAATGTTTAGTTTTCAGTGGAATGTTTTTGGACGATGGTAACACAACAACAGTGTGAACCAAATTGAAAACAAATAATGAAAGAAAGCAAGAGTGGTCTTATTTTAGCTAAATCATTATCTGTGCCCTTTGTTGTACAATGTTAAAAAAATATTTTGAGACCTGAAGGTGCAGAACACGCAGAGTCTCTGGTAAGTTAAGAGGTACAGATTCCAGTGTGTTGTGTGCTAGATAGAGATATGACAAATTGGTCTGCTTCTGTAGAGAGAAAAAAAGGAGAAAAAAAAATTAGTGTTGATTTTCCTTGATTACACTGTCAGTAGTTCAGTCCCTCCTATGCCTGTCTACATGGGCAGCAGGTATAATAGGCCAAGAGAGACTCATTCTCCCCTGGTGCTGCCGCTGGACCCCTGGTTGTGGGGTTTGGCAGGAGAAGGTTTTGCTTTATTATGCCCCATGCAGGTTCTGGATTGGCTGAGGAGGCGGTATATGGTATTCAGCTTCCTGGGTTCATCAGTAATCTCCCTGGACTCCAGAGAGACTACTGATGAACCCAGAAAGCTGAGTAGCACATACTGCCCCAGAACCTGCATGGGGCATATCAAAAGCTTCTTCCAGATGACAGGTTTCAGAGTAGCAGCCGTGTTAGTCTGTATCCGCAAAAAGAACAGGAGTACTTGTGGTACCTTAGAGACTAACAAATTTATTAGAGAATATAAGAAAGCTTATGCTCTAATAAATTTGTTAGTCTCTAAGGTGCCACAAGTACTCCTGCTCTTCTTCCAGATGAGACGCTTTTTCCTGAGGTGGCTTGGAGTATGGGGAGGGGAGGCGCAGTGGGCGGGTGGGAGGGAGCTCAGGGCTTCGGCTGGCCTGGGGCTCCTCCGATCAGAGGGGCGCTCGGGTCTCTGGCCGTGGGGGGGGGGGGGGGAACAGAGCCTGGGGCTCCACCTGCAGCCTATGCAATAGATATCAGCATTTTTCTTCTGAATACATACCTTGGCTAATATATGTCCATAAAGCCATCCTGTTTAAATGTTCTTTTGTTGGAAGTACTGTACGTAATATGCTAACACAGTGGCTCTCATCTTTCCAGACCACTGTACTCCTTTCAGGAGTCTGATTCGTCTTGTGTACCCAAGTTACACCTCACTTCAAAACTACTTGCATACAACATCAGACATAAAAATACAAGTGTCACAGCAAACTATTACTGAAAAATTGCTTACTTTCTCAATTGTGCCATATAATTATAAAATAAATCAATTTGAATATAAATATGGTACTTACGTTTCAGTGTATAGTATGTAGAGCAGTATAAACAAGTCATTGTCTGTATGAAATTTTAGTTTGTACTTGCTTAGCTAGTGCTTTTTATGTAACCTGTTGTAAAACTAGGCAAATATCTAGATGATGTACCCCCTGGAAGACCTCTATATATCCCCGGGGTACATGTACCCCTGGTTGAGAACCATTTTTGAGAGATCAAAAAATTTAATAAAACAAGTTCTATTAAACTTCAGGCTTTAATGCCATAGCTTTATTTAAGAGTATTTGAATATGGCTGTGACTAAATATCCTCTAGTGTTAACCTTTCTTGTGATTGTAATGATATTTTGTTGTTGTTGGTTGTTGCTCTGTTAATGTTTTCCCTCACTTTCCATAACCATACTTGTAGCTAAATACCAAGGTGGGCTATATCCTTCTTGCGGTGAAGAATTTTGGATCGTGACTGGTGTGAGCAGGTGTCATGGTGCTTTCAGTCACTCTTCTATTTTGAGTAATCTCTTTTTGCCATATATCAACATGTTTTTCTGGGTTGCTGTGCCAACAACCTGACATACAAATTCACAATTAGAACCAAATCAAGCCCTGTTTAGTTTAGTTACGTAATCACAGCTTATTATGTAACAATGTAATAGCTCTCCATAGCTACAGAACTATTTCCATACAAAAAATTTAAGGTGAAGTTAAGGCTACAAGTATTTTTCTCTAAAAGCCTTATTGGGATTGTTAGGATCCTACTAGTAAACCTGAAGATGCTTAGCTCCATATTCTCACTTCTCCTACCTGCATTTCCCAGACTTTTAGGATACTCCTCAGAATTCCCAGTATTAGTAGTTTACTCAGTCCCAGACAAACCAAAATAAGCTACTCAGGCCTGGGATGAACCAATGGAAGCTCATTGAAGATTAATAGGCCTCCTGAGTCATGGGGGTAGGGAAAATTGTCCTCTCTTGCAGATAATCAGATTTTCTTCCAAAGCCCTCTTTCTACAGAACTCACATGTATAATGCTGGAGGAGGGGGGTACTGAATAAGAACACAGGTAGCTGTAGGAGACCAGGGTGTCATTTTCCTCCTATCTGTAGATCATCTGAGGTGTGCAGGAAGGACATTTCCGCAGGAAGTATCACAAGACTTGGAGAGGCTGTTCGTCCTCCTCAAATCTTTTAATAAAAAAACTCTTTTAAGAGTGTCTTATTTCAGGAGCTCCTGTCCAATTCACTTCCTAGTGTGTTAAAAAAAATTAAAATTCTGCCTTGGCCCCTGATCTGACCTACCAATTTGGAGGCCAAAGGTACTTTTTTATGTGGATTTTAGAAGTGAGGAGGGGCAAAATTTTATTTAAAATTAAACTAATTTGCATCATTAACAGAGCATTGCTGTTATTCCATGTACCTTAAATAAAAAGCATACTGTTTTAAAAATCTGAAAAACCTCCTATACCTATGCTCAGAGTCTTACAGTAAAGTTTACAAATATTTAACAAACACTACATCTATGATAATGGTTATTTATCTAATTTTATGTAAGTTACTCCAATTTTTATAACCTCTGTTACTTACCTTGAAAGCATTTGCTTTGATACCTCTGCTCTTAATTCTGTTGTAGTTTGCATTAAATGTAATTAGCTTGGGGGGCAGAACTGGAAGTTTTATCAGTTTATTTTCAGCAAGTGAAAGTTCTTCTAATAACAGAAGCTTTGAAAAGGCACCGTCTTCAATTTCGTCTATCATATTTCCACTTAAATCAATTCTTCTTAATGTAGCTTTATATAAAGGAAACAAAAACCCAAATATTACATTTATTTTTCATGCTGTGTAAAACTCAGTAAAGCATAATATACTCCTATTATAAGTGGCTCTTGTAGAAATGCTTATAAATATGATTGCTGAACACTTTGCATTATAAGTCCCTGTTTTCAGTTTCTTATAACTTTTTAAAACTTTAATTGTTTGGGCTAAAATTCTCCACAAATGCCTTAGGCTGAAAAACAAAACAAAACAAACAGTTCAGCCAAGAGGAAGGCTAGGGAAAAATAAGTAGTTTTTCCCAGTTAAAATTATATACATCTAACCATTTAATTGAGAAGCTCTAGTGTCTCCATCCTTTAGAGGGAAACTTGAAATTTGGCACAGAAGTTGCCCAGGTTTTAGGGATATGCCTCTTGTCCCTGTGAAAATCCACCCAAATGTGGTCAAGATATAAGTATCTGAAAAACTCTCAGTTCACACACATTCACTAGAGGTTTGTAAAGAGGTTAACAATTAGTGATTGATCCACACAGAGAATAAAAGCCTACTACTTTTACTGGTTATTTGTTATCTCAAGTGATAAGAGGTCTGTGCTGTGGATCTAAGGGTCCTGTTCCAGATGACCACCTATGTGGCGGGTCAGGAGGGTGCCACTTGCTGTAGTTTCTGTTTTTTTGTTTGTTGTTTTAAAAAATCAGGAAATTACACTGAAGAAAACTGTTCAAAGAATAGTAAGGTTGCCAAGTTAAACATTCAAGGTTTGGAAATGCTATAATAGTAGCTGCCTGTGTAACTTTAATTCAGTCCCCTTGATGTGTATGTTCACTTTAATTGAACACACAGATTTCAAGAGATTTATTCTATCCCCAGATAGGGTGAATATAAGTAAAAAGGCATGTGAATTTTCAACAAACGTGTCCTTCCAAATGTTAATTAGTCATTGAAGTTAAATAGGTAAATAAAAACAAAAGCCGTTTTTAAAGTCTGACAAAATCCCCTTTCTTTTCTCTCTACACTGTTGGCCTTACAACTGTCACCATTTGATTAGTTATCTAGTCCTTTTCTCTTTCAGCCAAGAACATACTTGAATTTCTACAGTAAAAGATAAGCATAAGAAAAATTAATTAATAAAATAAACTTTCCAGGCCTTCTTCACATTTCCAAAAGAATCACAAAAAGGAGCAAGCCCAGTTCTTAAGACAAATGCTTTTAAAGTCACTTTCAACAAAGAAGAGAATAAATAATACTGCATATGAACAAAGAGATGGACTTGACAATGTAAGAGAAATCTTAACTTGTAGAATTTCTTTACTTTTGAGAGCTTGGTATTTAATTTAAATATTTAGCATTGCATTAATAGTGACACGCTTAACTTTAGTTAAGATCAGGTTTCTCTGCTGTATGTTCCTACTAATTAGTTAGGGAGAGCAGGGCAATCAGCACAGAAAAAGGTTTGAAGTAATAAAAGTGTATATTTTCTTTACCTCTGTGAATTCCTCTTGATACTTTCTGGTTCCTTTAAGACAACCCAGATTGAGACACAACACTACTTATGTGGTTCATGGTATTTGTGAATTAGGGTAACCAGGACTGGGAGCTTTGTCATATATGTACAGCTATGCCCTCCCTCCCCCCGCTCTCCTCCGCCCGCCATAGGTTGGGCTTAGCTAGGTTTCCAGATTTTCTTTTACAATTCCTTTCTAATAGTAGTGTGTTATATATAATACATATTAATGCAATGGTGGAATTCAACAATGAATATGAAATGTATTTTATTTTGGTATTGCCCCCCCCCCCCACCATATGCAAGGAAGAATTTAACTTTAAACTATAAGCACATATCACCTAATTAAAAAGATTAAAGTCTAAATATGCTTACGAATATCAGCAAAATCTGAGACTGCCACTCTCTTTATTTTGTTGAATCGTGCATAAAGATAGCCTGTTTCCTTTGGCAGAGGGGGAATCGCAATAATATCAATTTCTTCACAGTATACCGATCCACTTAAACACACACACATCAGACAAGTGGGCAAATCTGCAAAAAAAAAGAATTTTATTTCCTTGTATCATTAGAAAGCTAAAAGATTGGCAATCAATCTTTAAACTAATACAAAAAATAGAATTTAACTGAGTTAAGGTTTATCTTTTTTCAGGATTTTATATATTTGTTCTCAAGATAGTAGGGTCAAAAAAGACGTCATAGTCATCAAATCCTTTCTCTTAGACATTCCTTGTATGGAGAATTGCACTTTTCTACTTACATATTCTAGCTTCCTTTTTTTAATCTATTCCTGAAGCACCATTTATCAGAGTTACTCAACTATGTTATTGAATTGATTACAGCTGTATAAGCATTCAGTATAACTGATTGTAATGTCACTTGCCTTCCTTAAAAACGATTGCTTTCAAAGTGGAAGTTACGTTAGAAAAAAATCTTAGAAAAGCAAAAGTGTTCACGTGAACCAGTCAGAGAGTGAGACCATAAATAACCCTACATCTTATGAGCATGGCCTGTGTGCTCTGTGCAAGCAGTACATAAATACTTCAAGTTCCTTGGATCCTGTGGCAGATTAGAAATTTCTGGCCAGTTTGATTTACATTGAAAAATATAGGCAATGAATTAATTTATTAAATTAAAAAAGTGAAATTAATATCCCAATACTTTATTGTTTTTACTTTGTCACGGCTGTTTTCATTTCCATTGTGCCAAACATTTTTATATTAACATAACTGCATTTTAGAAGTTTGTATGGGAAAGTTGAAGGTTTTGTTAGTTGAGTAGGGAAATACTTGAAGCTTTTGGCTCGTTGGGAGACGTTTTGGGAAATGAGGGAAATGTCCATTTACTGGCTGTGTCTGATAAAATAATTAGCAGTGAAATACTTAATGTTGGTGTTTACTTTATTTTTAGGCTTCAGACAACTCATTTGATGTAATGGGGCAGTTTGTGCCTTTGACCTTTTGTTTCAGATATTCTGCAGGCTCAAGATGAAAACTATCAATTTCTAATTGTTTCATGTTTTCAAGGGCTGGGAAGAGACTTATAAGAATAGGACAATATTTGGATTCTGGAGCACAATTCTGCAGCAAAGGCAGAAAGCAGCAAAGGATGCTAAGGCAAATTGCACATTCATGAAATCATGGAATATTCAGGCCTTGCCTCAATGTTAATGTTGCAGCTTTGAATTCAATTGTGCTACAACTTTTGTTTGTTCTAATTTCTAACTCTTTGTGGTATTGAAACCTTTAGTCATCTTTCACATATATCTGGGTATGGCGCATAGGTGATACTTGTCTTTTTGCTATCCACCTAACAAAGAAGATCCTTCTAGAACAATTGGCAGTTTTTGATACCCATAACTAATGAAGTCCTGATGAAATGGCTGCTAGGTATGGGCAAACTGAGAATTGGTAAGCCTTCAGTTATTTCTTTCCATTGAGAGATTCCTGAGGTTAATACTGGACCCCATTCATTAGCCTTGCATTCAGTCTTTTGCCTGTGATTTCAGATCTCTACCCTTAGACTCCAATTGCTCATTTTGTTTGTGAATACAGGAAATAGTGAAGTGGTTCGAGAAGCATTGTCATCAATATACCATCAACATTGCATGACTCTTTCATTGGAGTTGGAGGGTGCACTAGCTTTGCTCACCGTTGGATGAGAACTAATTGGCAGATGATTCATTTCAGAGAATGTTGGTTGGCTGGGGAAATGTCTGTAGATGGTGGAGGCTATAATTGTTCCTTGATTAAGATGTTTTTAACTTATGGTTCTTGTTAAATTATTGTTTGATCCTGGATTTCTACATAGCAGTCGTACCCAAGAGTGGTTTGTTTTGTTTTATTTATTTTTGACAAGGAGATGGGGGTTTGAGGTGGAGGTTTTATTATTTTTTATTTTATTTATTTTTTCCTTTCACATGTGGACCCACACCATGGTTAATTACAGAAAAGCTATTTGTGGGGATACACTTGAAAACTACTGGGAAATTTGAGCTAGTGGAGAATGTACCTGCGGAAACGTTAACCATGATTAACGTCTAAAGCTCTGTCAGGTTAAGCTCTGTCTAGCTACAGTACAGACATATTCTGCTCCTCTCTGAAGTTGAGGTGCTGAGAGCAGATCACTCCCCATAGAAGTCTCTCTACTTTTTCACTTCACCCATTGTCTGGCCATGCCATAAGAAAGACAGCAGGAAATGGATGTGGTGTAATTAGACTGCAATTTTATTCACTGAAGATATCTGAAAGAACCCTGCAATAAATTGTATAATGCAGGTCATGATTATTTCCATAATCACTTCCACATAATCCACAACCTGGTCCCAACCATCCTGTTGTGGGGCTAGGAAAGGAGAGAGATTTTCATGCTGTTCCAGATGTAGGAGTCCCAACATTCCCTCTTACACAGGTCCCTTAAGGGATCCTTTCTTTCAAATTCTTTGCCAGTTCATTTTATCTGATAACTGTATCCGTTCCATAATGATTATCTACACTGGACATCTGGCACAATTATTACTTACGAAGTTGTGACATTATAACTTAAGTCCCACCCCCAAACTCAAACACACACACCCTACTGGGTCCCAGACCTACTGTGAGGAAGGCAAAAAAAATTCACCCCACCCTGTCTTGGCCAATCTGGTGGTGAGGGAAAAATACCTTTCCAGCTCACTAAGAAAAAGGGCGACTAGAGTAATGCCCATGGCCGGCCGTATAGAAATCCAATTCTTTTGCAAATGTTATGGGTGGGTGAGTGGGAGCTGCCAGCCTGATCCAGGTAAAAAACAGCTTCTCCAGGGCTGTGTGGGTTCTAAACACGCTCATTACATTCCAGTCTGCAGAAAGGGCAGTGACCCAGCCCCTGACCTGTCCCTGTTCCCCTCACCTATTGTTGAGAGAGAGCCCTTAAAGGGTAATACCTCTTTACATCTCGCCATCCAGCCAAAGACTCACCACATACACAAGCTGTGGTGAGCGAATTTCACTTCAACATGAATTAGTTGACTTATTTTTGCCTGATTGTCTAGTTCATATTGTTAGCTTTATTATGCTTTCATTTGGCCATTCAATATGTGTGTTTTCCTAGAGGATGTGATAGGAGCATCAGATAAACTGGTCTGCATATATTCAGAATGTATCTGGAGCTTCTTTAAAATTTCCATCCCAGAGTTAGCAGAAATCCCACCGAGCTCATGAAAACCTTGTTTATAAATGAAAAGATGAATGCTATATGCAGTTGTCCTTCACTGAACTCTTTTTTTTATGTGAAATATTTTATTTTAGAAAGCTTAATAATGTAACTTTTCTATAACTTACTTGTATCTTTGGTTGGTGGTACTTTAGGTACACTCTCATCTCTCTGCAGTTCCAGCTGTATGTTAGAGTCAGGAGAAACAATCATGCCATCTTTTCCCTTTAAGAACAAAGGTAATAAAAATGGAGTGTTCATTAAAGGCAAGCCATTAAACCAAACCATTAAAGGCAAACTTAAATATTGTACTACGGTTTAAAATATGCTGCTTACTATTCTTATAATGAATATTTCTAACTGAAAGGAATTAGAGAAAAAAGTTGTTTATTTCATGCATTTGGACAGCATTTGATATATACCCAGTTTCCCCTTTTGTTTGTGGGTTTCGCACACAGAGAGGAGAAAGAGAAGAATTTCTAAAATAGGAAAATGTTATAAAACAACAAATAATGAGGAGAAGGAGGAGATTATGGAACAGGAGTATACCTGAAACTGGTCTTAACTTAATCTTAGAAATTGACTAGATTTCAAATTGGCCTTAAACATCAGCATTCAAAAGACTATTTGCAAATAGATAACAATCCTAATACACTGAGACCATCTATATACATAAATAGTCTCAGTAAAATAAAATACACTTCTGAATAAAAAGTCAGTGAGAATTTTTCTCCTGAAACATTGAACATGCTAATATCTTTTATCAAGTGTATGTAAACTTTACTTTCCAAACCTATCCCCTTGCAGATATTTGCTCTAGTTCAGCAAGGTACTTTAACCTGGTGGCTAAGTGTGTGTCATTCCCTCAATAATGACTAGCTGACATAGAGGAAGACAACATATTATTGCTATTAGTTACTCCATTAGCTTAGGTGGTAGAGGTCTCTGTATTGTATGTAATGGTTCTAACTCTGCTGATGACCAGAGTTTGGGCCAGTGTGGTTAGCCGTTCTTAAATTTTGTTTTTCCCTTTGCTTTTTTAAAAATATAGGAACTTAAACCACAAAATACAATACTAAAGGAACATTAAGGTTGCAGAATGAAGCACCCAAAAGTTAGGAAATGCTAAAATTAAGGTTGCCTATGAAACATCAGTTGTGCCCCGTTGTGTGTATGCATTATGATACGGTCTTTAATTATATGATCACATACTAGTTTTTCTACCGGACTCCTGCCTTATTCAGTTCACAGGATGGTCCTTCGCTGGCAGTGAATCTGTTTGTACAGGGAAAGGAGACTTGTCTGAAAACCGGCTGCTTCCTTTGTTGCAGAAGTTGGAAGGTGTGTACCTGTTCTGGGTACTGGGATGGTAAGGCCCATCACTTCAACTGAGGCGGAGGACCCACAAAGCCCAGTGAGCAAATGATTACAGGGAACAAAACCTCAGTCTTGAAGTATTACTTTGGGTACAAAATTAACATTAGTGAGTTCCGTAAAAAGAGAGTAAGTTTGGTTAGCACCTAAGTTCCAAACTAGTTATGAAATCTTTTGTATGTTAACAGTGTTTTCCATAGTTCCATATTCCACTGTTCGCATGGCACAGTTGTAGCCGGTATCGCAAGATATTTACTTGCCAGATATGGTAAAGATTCATATGTCCCTTAATGCTTTGCCCACCATTCCAGAAGACATGCTTCCATGCTGATGACAAGTTCTGCTCGATAACGATCCAGAGCAGTGTGGACTGTCGCATGTTCATTTTCATCATCTGAGTCAGATGCCATCAACAAAAGGTTGATTCTCTTTTTTGGTGGTTTGGGTTCTGTGGTTTCCGCATCGGAGTGTTGCTCTTTTAAGACTTCTGAAAGCATGTTCCATACCTCATCTCTCTCAGATTTTGGAAGATACTTCAGAGTCTTAAACCTTGGGTCAAGTGCTGTAGCTATCTTTAGAAATCTCACATTGGTACCTTCTTTGCATTTTGTCAAATCTGCAGTGAAAGTGTTCTTAAAATGAACAATGGGCCGAGTCATCATCAGAGACTGCTATAACATGAAATATATGGCATTATCTCCTGTAAATGTAAACAAACTTGTTTGTCTGAGCGATTGGCTGAAC